AATTGACCGTCTACTATCCGGTAGTTTCGGGGAGGTGGCCAATTGGCCGTCTCTACTATCCGGTAGTTTCGGGGAGGTGGCCAATTGGCCGTTTCTACTATCCGGTAGTTTCGGGGAGGTGGCCAATTGGCAGTTTCTACTATCCGGTAGTTTCGGGGAGGTGGCCAATTGGCCGTCTCTACTATCCGGTAGTTTCGGGGAGGTGGCCAATTGGCCTTTTCTACTATCCGGTAGTTTCGGGGAGGTGGCCAATTGGCCTTTTCTACTATCCGGTAGTTTCGGGGAGGTGGCCAATTGGCCGTCTCTACTATCCGGTAGTTTCGGGGAGGTGGCCAATTGGCCGTCTCTACTATCCGGTAGTTTCGGGGAGGTGGCCAATTGGCCGTCTCTACTATCCGGTAGTTTCGGGGAGGTGGCCAATTGGCCGTTTCTACTATCCGGTAGTTTCGGGGAGGTGGCCAATTGGCCTTTTCTACTATCCGGTAGTTTCGGGGAGGTGGCCAATTGGCCGTCTCTACTATCCGGTAGTTTCGGGGAGGTGGCCAATTGACCGTCTCTACTATCCGGTAGTTTCGGGGAGGTGGCCAATTGGCCGTTTCTACTATCCGGTAGTTTCGGGGAGGTGGCCAATTGGCCGTTTCTACTATCCGGTAGTTTCGGGGAGGTGGCCAATTGGCCGTCTCTACTATCCGGTAGTTTCGGGGAGGTGGCTAATTGGCCGTTTCTACTATCCGGTAGATTCGGGGAGGTGGTCAATTGGCCGTTTCTACTAATCGGTAGTTTCGGGGAGGTGGCCAATTCGCCGTTTCTACTATCCGGTAGTTTCGGGGAGGTGGCCAATTGGCCGTTTCTACTATCCGGTAGATTCGGGGAGGTGGTCAATTGGCCGTTTCTACTAATCGGTAGTTTCGGGGAGGTGGCCAATTGGCCGTCTCTATTATCCGGTATTTTCGGGGAGGTGGCCAATTGACCGTTTCTACTATCCGGTAGTTTCGGGGAGGTGGCCAATTGACCGTTTCTACTATCCGGTAGATTCGGGGAGGTGGCCAATTGACCGTTACTACTATCCGGTAGTTTCGGGGAGGTGACCAATTGACCGTTACTACTATCCGGTAGTTTCGGGGAGGTGACCAATTGACCGTCTACTATCCGGTAGTTTCGGGGAGGTGACCAATTGGCCGTTCCTACTATCCGGAAGATTCGGGGAGGTGACCAATTGACCGTCTACTATCCGGTAGATTCGGGGAGGTGGCCAATTGGCCGTTCCTACTATCCGGTAGTTTCGGGGAGGTGGCCAATTGGCCGTTTCTACTATCCGGTATAATCGGGTAGGTGGCCAATTGGCCGTTTCTACTATCCGGTAGATTCGGGGAGGTGGCCAATTGGCCGTTTCTACTATCCGGTAGATTCGGGGAGGTGGCCAATTGGCCGTTCCTACTATCCGGTAGTTTCGGGGAGGTGGCCAATTGGCCGTTTCTACTATCCGGTAGTTTCGGGGAGGTGGCCAATTGGCCGTTCTACTATCCGGTAGTTTCGGAGAGGTGGCCAATTGGCCGTTCCTTCATCCGGTAGTTTCGGGGAGGTGGCCAATTGGCCGTTTCTACTATTTGGTAGTTTCGGGAAGGTGGCCAAGTTACCGATGGCTCATAGGTGTAGCATCTATTTTGGTTGGAAAAGTGAACTTCTTTTATTTATCAATATCCTCCTTACAAAATTATCATCTAAATTCCAACCATTAAATTGGCCTAGCAAATTTTACAGATGACCCCACCTCTCTAGAAAAAAATTTTAAATGTCGTGAATTTACTTTTTTTTATCCTTAGTACACGTGGTACAGGCCATGATTATCATGGTGGGTAGAAATTAGCAACTGCTTTTACTGTAAATGCATCACATTTCTACACATATTAAAAGCAGTTCGACATTTGCACTTACAAATATGCCAGAACTCCGTTTGATAACTTGCAGTTGTTAGTGGGGTTGGACTTTTGTAAAAATCGGGGGCTATTAGAGCATTTTTTTAAATCAGAAAAAAAGTGTTCAATGCGGGAATTGATCTCGGGTCGTAGCAATCGTATACCAACGGTTTAGACCAGGGGTGGCGAACCTTTTTATATTAGAAGGCCAATTTTCATTTTACCATTTTTTGAGAAGGCCGCATCCATATATAGATATATATATTTAATTAAAAAGGCATATATTGGATCAAAAATAATATACAGTAGAACTCCTCAAATTCGGAAAGCTTGGGGCGCAAGGTATTCCGAATTTGAGGATTTTCCGAATTTGAGAGAGTTAGATTTGTGAATATTTATGTGGCATAAATAGGCATTTAGATGACTGAGACAAAGATTTTGAAGCATATGAACAATTTTAGGTTGAATATTATATGTACATTACATAATTTTAATTACGATTTTTAATCAGATGTTCCTTGACTTTTATTAGTTTTGAGCATGAAACCGATGAAAAATAGTAAAATATTTTATTATGTATGTAATGCAATTGATGGCCAAGTAAGTTATGGCTTGGCAAAGAAGTTGCTGATTGTTGTCTGTTTCTTTGGCTTGTTTAACAAAGCTTCTTCTTCTCTCATAAACATAGTTCGAAGACTATTGATGGTGTTGTAGCTTGCAAGCATCTCTGGTTCAGTGCGCTTTTCCAAATATTTTAATGCAACATCCAAACTTTTCAACGCTTCGCATCTGGGAACATCCGGCTCCAAACTGTCTTCAGTCTTTTTTACTTGAGAAAACTTTTTGACATCTTTTTCGGTAGAATCAACAAACTTTGTAAGTTTAAGCTCAGACTTTTTTATATCATAAACAGTTGTCTTAGAAATTTTATACTTTTGCATTATCGTTGTATAGCTTAATCCTTTTTTAATGTCACTAAGAACATCTAACTTTTCACCAAGCTTAAGAATTCGGTACTTGCCTCGTTTTGCCGCTCCTCTTTGGATGCCATTTTGTTGAAGAACAAACTTGTAAATGCAAAAAATTGAGAGTTGAATAAAAGAATTTGAAACTTACAATGTCTGAAAATGTTTGATAATTTGAACTTTAGGTGAATCAACTTTGCAATAAAAAATGCGTGAATGGCTTATGACGTAATAATGCTGCCTTCTTATTGGACAATATCCTAAACTAAGCACAAAGGTCAAATGAAACTGTTGATTTATTTAAGCTTTTAAAAAAGGGGATAAACCCCTAATTAGCGATTATAAATAATAGGTAAAAGTAAATTAATTAAACACTTAATTCAAAAATAAATTACTAATAAAAATTAAAAAAAATAAAAGCAAAGCAAAAGTAAAAGTAAATAAAATAAAATAAAATAAAATAATGTTGAAATATCAACAAAATAAAAGCATGTGAAAATTGATTTTTTGTATGTAAAAAAAAACATTACAATACTTTCCGAATTTGGGAGTTTCCGAATTTGAGAATTTCCGAATTTGAGAAGTTCTACTGTATATATATATATATATATTATATATATTATATAATATATGACAATGGTATTAGATATTTTCAATAAAATAATGAAAGTAATTGAAAACTGCGAAACAAAAATTATAATTTTGAATTTATGAAAAGGCCACAACTTGGGCAAGAAAAGGCCACATGCTGGCCTTAAGGCTGCAGGTTCGCCACCCCTGGTTTAGACCATCCTTCCACCGACCCCCATTGGTAAATTTCTTGTGGATCTACTCGAATATAAGTCCGCCCTGGGCTGACGATGGTCAGTAGCCCGAAACTCTGGTTCCCAGGTGGGCGTTATGAATTTGCTAAGGCTGGTGTTGTGACTTTGACACCTACCCGAGTCCGCTTGTTTGCGGAGACTGTCGATAGATAGAGTTTAGTCTATTTAGTCACACGATTTGTGATATTTGTTCTAATAGATCAATAACCTCCCGGCGAAATTCTCATCTATATATCAGCCATGGAATTAACCTAACCACCTTAATAGCTGAACACGTTTTGGAAAATTCTGATGGCTTCATAATATATTATGGAGATCATACCATCGCATATGTCAACTTCTCTCTTCAGCTCTGAATGATGAATTACTGATTGCTAGCTACTTTAAGTTCTGCACAGAAGCTGGGCGCATGAGAAAGAATGCAGGGCAAAGGATACTGGAGGATGAACTATCTGTAAATAGGTAACTGAATGTGAGACAAACCTTATTTTGTTGTAAATGTTTCCTCTTCCCTCTCCTCTTGTTGTCGTGTAAATACGGCGAATCCTGTATGGGGCGGAATGCCCTAAATAAAGGCTTTGTTGTTGTTGTTATATATTATGGAGATCTCATGAAATCAAAGCCAGCTCTAGACAAACTAGGATCATTAGCATGACACCCAGATCTTAAGTTCTTTTTCTGAATTTAACAAAGTTGGGGTGTTGTAACTCTGTTACTTACCTGAGTCTGCTAGTTTTCAGAGACATTCAATATATACCTATCCCCCGATTTACACGGTACTTGTTTTACACGTTTTCGCTTTTACACGGTTTTCCAAATAAGTTTTGTTTTGTTTTTTGTTTTTATCGCACTATACTAAATGCTACTGTGATTGAACACATGCGCTGTGTACACATCTCACGAGGAATCCCGAGCTTATGAGCTGACTACATATTTTAACCTGTCAATGCATTTTATTTTTATTTCTGTGTACACCTATCCCCCGATTTACACGTTTTTCTCAAGAACGTATCTATCGTGTAAATCGGGGGATAGGTGTATAGTGCTTATAAGTTAAATTATATTTGACGCCTAAGAATTATTTTTGAAATAAAACTATTTTCAACTGACCTTATTGCAATTGCGCTTAGTTTTGACAAGATAAATAGCCTTGTATTATCTAGATTAATAATAAAACACAATTTGGATTATAGTTTATAGCTACAAGAAAATAAGACCTAATCGAAATAAATTAATAGTGTGTGACGTTTCGGTACCTGCGTTATTACCATCATCAAACAAAAGAATAAATGTGGTTCCCACGCCGGGAAACGAACCCGGGCCTTATGAGTGAAAGCCGGATATCCTAGCCAATAGACACATGGGAAATTATTTATTCATTTGTCTGATGATGGTAACAACGCTGTTACCTCAACGTCACACACAATTAATTTGGATTAGGTATAATTTTCTTGTATCTAGATTAATATTTCATCTTTCTTTGCAAAATATTCATATCTATAAACCGATAAATGGTAAATCTGAACTTTTCTGTTTACAATATTTGTCTGAGGGAAAGCTTTGCCGTTAAAATCAAATATTTAAACACACATACGAAAGTATTTTTTAAGACAAATACATTATATTTGAATTAAACGCGGAGTGTATGCAAATGAAAGGAATTTTAAAAAGTAAAAGCTAATCATATTTAATGGTAATGATGTAAATTATATGCAGATATACTTACTTAAGACAAATAATCTCGAAACCTTGGGTTATATATGAATATCTCTAAAGAATGAAAAAGTTACAAATAAATAAAATAATTAAAACACTGGTATTCACATACGATACATATGTCGTGTCTCTCATTGTTGTATAAAATTATCGATAAACTAGGATAAAGACCAAACACTGAGCACAACACGTCTCTCTCATTGTCGTATAAAATTACCCATAAACTAGTATAATGACCAAACACTGGGCACAACACGTCTCTCTCATTGTCGTATAAAATTACCCATAAACTAGGATAAAGACCAAACACTGGGCACAACACGTCTCTCTCATTGTTGTATAAAATTCTCAATAAACTAGGATAAAGGCCAAACACTGGGCACAACACATCTCTCTCATTGTCGTATAAAATGCTCAATAAACTAGGATAAAGGCCAAACACTGGGCACAACACATCTCTCTCATTGTTGTATAAAATTATCGATAAACTAGGATAAAGTCCAAACACTGGGCACAACACGTCTCTCTCATTGTCGTATAAAATTCTCGATAAACTAGGATAAAGTCCAAACACTGGGCACAACGCGTCTCTCTCATTGTAGTATAAAATTTTCGATAAACTAGGATAAAGTCCAAACACTGGGCACAACGCGTCTCTCTCATTGTTGTATAAAATTCTCGATAAACTAGGATAAAGGCCAAACACTGGGCACAACACGTCTCTCTCATTGTTGTATAAAATTCTCGATAAACTAGGATAAAGGCCAAACACTGGGCACAACACGTCTCTCTCATTGTAGTATAAAATTCTCAATAAACTAGGATAAAAGCCAAACACTGGGCACAACACATCTCTCTCATTGTTGTATAAAATTCTCAATAAACTAGGATAAAGGCCAAACACTGGGCACAACACGCCTCTCTCATTGTCGTATAAAATGCTCAATAAACTAGGATAAAGGCCAAACACTGGCCACAACACGCCTCTCTCATTGTCGTATAAAATTCTCAATAAACTAGGATAAAGGCCAAACACTGGGCACAACACGCCTCTCTCATTGTCGTATAAAATGCTCAATAAACTAGGATAAAGGCCAAACACTGGGCACAACACGCCTCTCTCATTGTCGTATAAAATTCTCAATAAACTAGGATAAAAGCCAAACACTGGGCACAACACGCCTCTCTCATTGTCGTATACAATTCTCAATAAACTAGGATAAAGGCCAAACACTGGGCACAACACGCCTCTCTCATTGTCGTATAAAATGCTCAATAAACTAGGATAAAGGCCAAACACTGGGCACAACACGCCTCTCTCATTGTCGTATAAAATTCTCAATAAACTAGGATAAAAGCCAAACACTGGGCACAACACGTCTCTCTCATTGTCGTATAAAATGCTCAATAAACTAGGATAAAGGCCAAACACTGCGCACAACACGCCTCTCTCATTGTCGTATAAAATTCTCAATAAACTAGGATAAAGGCCAAACACTGGGCACAACACGCCTCTCTCATTGTCGTATAAAATACCCATAAACTAGTATAAAGGCCAAACACTGGGCACAACACGCCTCTCTCATTGTTGTATAAAATTACTCATAAACTAGTATAAAGGCCAAACACTGGGCACAACACATCTCTCTCATTGTCGTATAAAATTCTCAATAAACTAGGATAAAGACCAAAACACTGGGCACATCAAGTCTCTCATTGTTGTATAAAATTTTAAATATACTAGGATAAAGATCAAACAATGGGCACAACACGTCTCTCTCATTTTTGTATAAAATTCTCAATAAACTAGGATAAAAACCGAACCCTGGGCACAACTAGTCACATTGTAGTATAAAATAACCCATAAACTAGGATAAAGACCAAACAATAGGCACAACATGTCTCTTTGTTGTATATAATTATTGATAAACACTTTAATAAATACCAAAGAATGGTAAATACTTTGTTGTTGTATATTATTCTCGATAAATTAATATAAAGACCAAACACTGGGTACAACATGTCTCTCGTTGTTGTATATATTTCTCCTGGTCGACGATGAGATTGCGGAGATGGTGATATGGATGGCTGTACTGGAGTAAACCTCCATTTTGTGCCTGGATGCTATATTTATGGCGAACTAAATAACTTAGTCCCTATTTCTGCTCCGCGCTTATGGAATTGAAGACTTGGGGCGATGGCGTCGATCTTTCATATTAAATCTTACTTTTCCTTATTACTAATAATTGTATATAGTTGCGGAACTACTGGTTTCCTGTGCTGCTATTTTCCTGTTATTGCACCTTGTACGGAGAATCTGTATAAGACTAACGTCTTAATAAAGGCTTTGTGTGTGTGTATATATATTTCTCCATAAACTAGATAAAAATCAAAGCCGGGCACAACATCGGTGTCTGCCGCCTTCTCCGGCCACCCGATCTTCTCGCTCCTTCCCGGTGGGTCAGTGCCTGCATTGGGGACTTCGCTGGCCCTGCTCCTCCCCTCACTCGGCCTACGCGCTGCGCCCTGGCTCACGCCGCGCCGCTTACCCGCTTCTGCCGTCGTCTTATGGACGAAAATCTACGCGGGGCCTTTCGAGTAAACACCATCGGCGAAGCCGTTGTGCTGCGCCAGACGGCTACGCCGTTTTTGAGAGTTATCATACGAACTGCCCACCGCATGTTAGAGCGCCCACGCCTGGCTACCCTGTCCACCGCCCAGATACCTAGAAGGTAGGAGGAACATATAAACCTGCCCATCAACATCCTTTGGTCGTAACTCTGGCGCTGCGCCTTCTCCGGGCACAACGTGGACGTGGTAGTGAGGCTAGCTCTGCACGCCTTGCCTCATCCAGTCCACTCGGCATCTGTCCAACAGTCCTGCGTGTCATGTCGCTGGGACACCGAATAATTGTTTTATTTCAAGATGAGATGGGAGAAAAGACCAAAGAATGGACACATCACTCAATTGTTAAAATCCAAGATGAGATAGGAGAAAAGACCAAAGAATGGACACATCACTTAATTGTTTAAATCAAAGATGGGATAGGAGAAAGGATTAAATAATGGACACATTACTTAATTGTTTAAATCAAAGATGAGATATGAGAAAAGACCAAATAATGGACACATCACTCAATTTTTTAAATCAAAGATGGGATAGGAGAAAGGACCAAAGAATGAACACGTCACTTAATTGTTTAAGTCTAAGATGGGATAGGAGAAAGGACCAAAGAATGAGCACGTCACCTAATTGTTTAAGTCTAAGATGGGATAGGAGAATGGACCAAAGAATGGACACATCACTTAATTGTTCAAGTCTAAGATGGGATAGGAGAAAAGACCAAAGAATGAACACGACTTTATTGTTTAAATCTAAGATGGGATAGGAGAAAGGACCAAAGAATGGACATATCACTTAATTGTTCAAGTCTAAGATAGGATAGGAGAAAGGACCAAAGAATGAACACGACTTAATTGTCTTAATTCCAAGATGGGATCGGAGAAAGGATCAAATAATGGACACATCACGTAATTTTTTAAATCCAAGATGGAATAGGGGAAAGGACCAAAGATTGGACACATCACTTAATTGTTTAAATCCAAGATGGGATAGGGGAAAGGACCACAGAATAGACACATAATTGTTCAAATCCAAGATGGGATAGGGGAAAGGACCAAAGAATAGACACATAATTGTTCAAATCCAAGATGGGATAGGGGAAAGGACCACAGAATAGACACATAATTGTTCAAATCCAAGATGGGATAGGGGAAAGGACCAAAGAATAGACACATCACTCACACCGGAGGGAATTCAAGAAAGAAAGAAGAAAAAGGAGAAAGGACCGAGCAGGAAAGTCGAGGACGGGGCCAGCGTACTTCCGGCCCAGTGCCCGAGGGGACTCCGCGGTCCACATCCGCCTAGCCGCTCCCGGGGCGTAGGAACACATGCAGGGACTACATCCCGGCTTCCTCCAACATGATCAAGGATATAATCGAAATTTAATATTTTCCTCTTTTATATAATCTTATTTATTCTCTTTACGGAAATAAATAGAGATCAGAGAAGAAGGATATGGATTCATTCGTTGTACATAAATTATAAAAAAAAAATTTCTGAATATATGCATAAAGAATTACCTAGAATATGCCGGCTATAGAAGCTGAGAATGTGAACAAAGTAATGAAGGTGTGGGGTTTATACTGAACAGCTCTCGCTGGAAGACATCCCACTGGTGATACATTCTCATTATATCCAGTAAAACTTCTCCAGCCGCTTATGGGAATGAACACAATATAAACAATTATTCAGTGTTTCTATTCATATATAGTTGAACCTGCTTGTAAAGGACACCTTATTGCAGAGCCAGGTGTCCTTTAGGGAGAGATGTCCTCTAAATGGAGAGTTGCTAAATTTTAAAATTGGTTATTTTGCAAATGAAAACTGTACTTTGTAGAGAGGTGTCCGCTAAAGGGCGTATCCATAGTGTATATAATAACGCTAAGTTCACTTTTCATATTTCTACGTTACATACTTTGAGGGAATATCCTCAAGCATCAATCTTCGAGGTGTTCCCTCAACAACACTGAGGGCTCTATCCTCAGCATCTTCATTGATGACAACAACCTCACAATTGTGTCAGATAAT